CTGCTGAAAAAAAAAAGCTAAAACCCAAAACATCCACCATGTCAGAAACATTCCACCTAAAAGCCTTTGAGTGTATGAGCTTCCTTATGGCACACTGAATTATGCAGAAAATCTCTGCATTAAAAAGACAATTAATTCCAGTTTAACTGTAACCAAGCCTGAATGATCCAAGGCTTAAGCTTCCCAACTATACAGCAGCAAACGGGCAAGAAGAAATGCACAGGCAATGAACAGAGTTAGTAAAATGCATGCAGCACAAAAGCATCACCTGAAATGGATCCCAGGAGGACACTGCTTTTTATGTGTTTGTAGACATACTCATAGCTTTGAGATTTGAGCGGTGATCCTGTAGACAGTATAGTGTGGAGCGTTTGGAGGTTGTGTGTTTCACCTTAAAAAGGAGGAAATCAACGAAATAGGTTAAGGTAGAATTTTTTAAAAAGTTTGTAACTATTTGTCACTACAATCCAGAATAATTACATAAAGGACTTTGTGACAAGATACAGGGCCAGAACCTAGAGAGGAAAGGCAGGAGGGAAGATAGAAGGGATTCAACAGCTTTTTGAAGCTTACATGGTTTTAAATTTTTCTCTTCTAGCACGGCCAGCCACTTTGCACCCGTTCCAAGGATGGTGATCCTAGAGAGAAAAAAGTTTAAATGTTTTGCATATTTAAATATGCTAAGATTCTAAAGACCTGCAATTCCCACTGCAGTAAGCAGAGACTGTAGACAGTCTGTACATTGATTAGTCAAGCAATGCAGTCTCTTAAAGCTTTCTAAGTGCAAGGCACATCCTTTTCCGCAATCAAAAGTAGTTAGATTACATGTCATTTCTGCAGCTTTGAAACTTTTAATTCTATCTTTAATATTAAGCAAAGCTTTCTAACCTCGTGGAAAACATTCACTTTCATTTACAGGAATTCATAACTGCCCAACACTCCAAAGACATGACAAAATGTTACAACGTTTTCTTCATTAATGGGCCATAATTGCCACTAAGCTGTTTAACACAGAACTGCTGCCTTGTTACACTCTTACATATAAAAATTTTGCCATTTCAGGGCACAGTTTAACAAAGAATACTTCACTCTGAAGACAGCAGCCAGTGATTTTCTCTTAGATACCTGTTCAGTTTCCACTGATGAAAGTCTGAGTTGCAGGTGCCTAACTGAACATGAAATTTGGCCTAGCTAACTGAACAATTGAATTCCACCCTTGCAAATAGTGTATTTAGAGCTCTCCAATACAACATAATTAAAACTTGAAACAAAGGCCTACCCCTTCCCTACTCTATCAATGGAAGTGCTACTTTAATGTTTCTGCTGACTTTCTCTTCCCTGCCTTCTGCTAATTCATTTTATATTACAGCAATAAACTCACTCACAAAAATGCACAGAGACAGATAAGGATAAGGAATACAGTCTGAGTGCACAGAACATGGGCAATACATACATCAGTAGAACTTAAAATAAGATCCTGCTATCTTTGCTTTTACTCCAAAGGCAAGACGGAAGGTAGAACAGCTCTTGAGATAATAATACAGCTTCAGAAACGGAGAGAGGGCTATTTCAACACTATCAAAAGGGGATGTCTTCCTTTGCCGTTTAGGTGGATGACAGTTATTCAGAGCTGCCACCTCTTGGGTAAGAACAGGGACAGGCTATTTGCACAAACACGTTGGTGCACAGAGCAATTTATCAGGTACATGGGAACAGCACCATAAGAGCCCACAGAAGTATACTGCTCCTCCAGTTATGTACCACAATCATGTGAACTATTTCTACTCTTGTGTAATATCTTACTTTCCTTACATGCTTCAAATTATTGCTTTTTTTTTTTTTACAGTTAGAATATGTAATGCTTCTCTGTTTATTTTTAAGCTCTATGACACTTCCTCTACAGCTCACGTAGAGCCTAGTCTCCTATTACTTCCTTCCAAATGCTATATAATTGGTGGATGGTGACTACATACAGATCTGTTCCCTTGAACAGATCTTTAATTGATGTCCACTTAAGTAATTCTTGTCATGCAGTATGAGATATCTTGATGACACTATGAAGAACATGCTATCTGAAGGAAAGTACGGTACATCTTCAGAGAAGTAAGGTAGCCTTAACATGTTGAAGCCTTTTTTTTAAATATGTAACATATGACTGAGTTGGGAACAGACTGCATTATGAAGTACCACACAGATGGCCACCGCTTTTAGCACCATATTACAAAAGTGAGACATGCAGACACACTTCAGTTATCTTCACTTACTTTTGGCATGTAGAAACAATGCTTAAAAATAAGCTCTGTTATTTCTTGACTCTAAATTTTTGCCTGTTGTTCTACTGGGGTTTTTTGGCGGGGGGTGGGGTGG